GGCATTGTATGGCCTTAAACAAGCCCTTCGTGCATGGTACAACCAGATTGAAGCATATTTTGTCAAAGAAGGATTTGAGGGGTGCAGCTGTGAGCACACCTTATTCATAAAAACGGGAGATGGAGGTAAAATTTTGATTGTTAGCTTATATGTTGATGATCTAATTTTTACTGTAATAATGAGAGTATGTTTGTTAAGTTCAAGAATTCTATGAAACTTGAATTTGATATGACTGATTTGGGAAAGATGAAATATTTTCTTGGTGTGGAGGTTTTACAAAATCCTGAAGGCATTTATATTAGTCAAAGAAAGTATGCAAAATATGTTTTGGAGAGGTTTAGGATGGAGAAGAGTAATAGTGTGAAGAATCCCATTGTTCCTGGCTTCAGACTAATGAAGGATGAAGAAGGATCCAAGGTGAATGCTACCATGTACAAACAATTGGTTGGAAGTCTTATGTATCTAACTGCAACAAGGCCAGACTTGACGTATATGGTGTCTCTCATTAGCAGATTCATGGCAAGTCCAACTGAGTTGCATTTGCAAGCTGCGAAAAGGGTGTTAAGATACTTGAAAGGTACTGTGGATTTGGGAATTTTTTTATCGAAAGGAGGGTAATGGAGAGTTGATGGCATATACAGACAGTGATTATGCAGGAGATGTAGATGACAGGAAAAACACTTCTGGTTATGTGTTTCTACTCAGTGAAGGAGTTGTGTCTTGGTTCTAAAAAAAACAGCTGTAGTTGCTCTGTCCACTACTGAAGCAGAGTTTGTGGCAGCTGCCTCTTGTGCTTGTCAAGGGGTGTGGATGAGGAGAGTATTGGAGAAGCTTGGTCATTCTCAAGGCAAGTGTACCACTGTGTTATGTGACAACAGTTCTACCATTAAGCTATCCAAGAATCCAGTCATGCATGGACGCAGCAAACACATTGATGTAAGGTTTCATTTCTTGCGTGATTTGACCAGAGATGGAGTTGTTGAGCTGAAGCATTGTGTCACACAAGAACAAGTTGCAGACATTATGACAAAACCACTTAAGCTGGATGTGTTCTTGAAGCTGCGTGAGTCAATGGGTGTGTGTGTGATACCACGAGTAAACTAAAAGCTTTACTACAATCAGTTTAGGGGAGGAATTGTTGGGGTTGTTAGAGTCATAGTTGAAGTTGTCAAAAGTTCATTCAGTTAAATAAATCCTATTATTTAGGACATGTAGGTAGAGTTTGACCATTTCCTTATCCATTTACCACGTTATTAGGATCAGTTTGTTTGGGTTGTTTAACGTGGGTTGTTTGTTTCCACTTTTATCTCTTTGTAAGGCTTATATAAGCCAACAACTTATTTTTAATTTAATTACATTCATTCAGATATTTTTCTGAAATTGCTTTGTGCTTAGAGTTTACAACAAATATAATATTATTTTTATCATTTTTTTAATTTTTTTAACTCCCTACATTTGAAATTTTGCTAAAACACTCAAAGTATATAAAACATTAATCTGTAACAAAATCATCTCCACCCACCCAAGCCACTGCCGACAGCCAGCCAGCACTGTCGGCCGCCGTTGACAGTCATCAAAATAGCCTTTTCTAGCCATGGGAAATGACCAGATTTAGTCGTTTCATGGCCATATCTGTGGCCGTGAAATGGCTTTATCGGCGCACGGCCAGCCAAATCCGATCGATTGTGAGCCATTTCATTGCCGCCAACGTTGGTGGCCGATGGTTGGCGATGGTGGCTAGATCCGGCCACCACCCTTGGGTAATTTTTTTAGAGTCCAAGGGTATTTATGTCTTAAAAAATTTGTATATAAGGATATAATAGTCCATAAATATATTTGTAAATAATTTCAAAATAAGGGTATTTTTCTCCAAAATAATTATTAATAAAGGGTAAAATTGTAACCAAATTAAGATTACCAAATAATCTTAAAAATAGTTAAGAAGATGAAAGTAATCAGATTAACTTTTATATTATCAACAGTAATTACTACTGGTTTTGAAAGATTATCGGAATCTTATAATACTTAACAACTAAATGTGATAATCAAGTAATATAAAATGACATTATCTCAATAATCCTTTGTTACTGCCAACCAAACACACTCTAAAAAGTAAAACATCATATTTTATAATAGACATGACTAAAACAATTTAGGCATCAATTAACCAAGAAGTCAACCATTTCCTACAAAATTTACCATCAATTCATTTCTAAACTTAGAAACCAATTAAGAAACAAAATAAAACATTTAGAAATCAAAACAAAACATAAAAGGACTAAACTTTCATGAATCTTAACCAAATCCAACACCAACTTGAACTCAAAACACCACTCAACCAAAACCAACACCAACCAAAACCAATCCTCAAACACAAATCAAATCATACTTTGAAGAAAAACAAACACAAACCCACATCAAAGCACCAAGTCCTGTTAGCTCTTTCATACCTCAAATCACAGTGGTGTTGTGGGTACGACGACTGGTAGGTGCGGTGGTCGATGGGTGCGACGGCCAACGACATTTTTCGGTTCGGTTTTGGCTCAATTTTTCAATTTGGTTTCAGTTCGGTTCGGTTTGCGGGTTTTTTTCCATCTTTATGGATCAGCATTTTCTAGAAGCTGTTGAATCCGAATATATTGCCACTGGGACATATACAAATCTCATAAGCATTACACTTTCCAGTGCAAATTGCAAAAAGGCTTCCAACCCAAAACTTTGACCTAATTTGTTATATTAATTATAAATATTAAGAATGATCAAATTGACATTAAAAATAATTATTTGTAATTTTCCACCCGACACACAGTTGAATACAAATTTAACAATAATGCACAAATAGCATTTGAAGTTTTAACACATTATTAACTACTTTAATCTTTTAATTTTGACGTTTTTCTCCATTTGACAAGAAGGATGAGCAAAAAATGATCCTTAGTAATGAGGTCTTATCCAGTTGTGCCAGTGAGCTTTTTTGGTTTTTAGTGTACTCAAAATTCTTTTATGCATTTATTGAAACCATTAGTTCATTACTTAACAAATTAGTTAGGTTTTCTTTTTGCCTCTATTCACTTATTTGACATTTAGATGATTAGATCAAATTATCAAACTTCAAACCTATCGGATCTGGATATCGCAATGAAAATGGCAAAACACTGAAAACATAACTCTATGTTGGCACGTTCCAACGTCGTCGTTGGCCCGCCGCCATCTTCCACCCTTGTTGTTGCCTGCTGCGATGCTACCGTTGTGTCGTCGTCAATCTCTAGTTCTCTACAAATGCCCTCGTTCGCAACCTGGTAAGAGTACCTTAAACTCCCTTCTTCCCTCATTTTCCATACCTCTAGTGCTTGGTAATCATTCATCAGTGGTTTGTACAATAGTTTTTAAAATCTCTTTTTAGTATTATATTTATTGGTAACCAGATGAACTATTATGAAAGTTTTGTTTACAAATTTTGATTTAATAGGACCATGAATGGAAACCCATTGTAGAAGCTCTCCTCTTCAGTTTTTATTTCTTTAATGAATTTTTTGTTCTGTTATTTTTCTTTTGCTATTTCTTTATTATTTTTGAACCTGGTTTATTAATTATTAATAAAAATTGTTATTTTTTTGTTTAGAAGAATGATGTCATCGAGTAAGGGTATAACTGTCGAGAATCAAATGGGTGGATTTGCCGAAGAAATATTCATTTTAAATTGAAAGCATGAAACATGACAATCTTGCAAACTTGAAAATTGGGATTAATGGTTTCTTTTGATTTTATTTTGCAATGTTGGAGATTATTTATCTTGAACATTGATGAGATTCATGAGAATCTATTGTTATAATGTTATTTGTGTTTTTATTTCATATCAATATTAGGGACATTATAATTTGTAGTATCAACTTTGATGTTATGTTGCTTGTATGATTCGAATTTATAAATTATGACTTTAGACAATTTCTTGTTATTTAAAATATTTCTATTTTTAATTTTTTTGAACAATAGACAGTTGCCCTAGAACCAGCACCTACCCGACATGATAGGTTTGATGGTAGAAACTTGTTCTAACAGAGTAGGCTCTGACTCCTAAATTTCCTGAATTTTAGGAACCAGTACTATACGGGTAGATTCCAGGTTCTTACTTTATGAAGCAAGGTACCTTGACCCGCTTATAGCATCAAAGATATTTCTAGGTTTGTCTAACAAGCTTAATTTAATCACGGAGATGATGACCATAATAATAATAATTATAAGGGAGAACGGCATTTTCCCACTCAAGGTTTGGGAAAACAACACTTTTCCATCCATCAAGTTTCAAAATGACATTTTCCCACCCTTTGTTAGATTATATTAGTATTTTCTGTTATTATTTGACTAAAAAGACAAAAATATCCTGAAATAGTTTTATTTCTTAATTAATTTATTATAAATTAAAATTTAGTTAAATCAAAGTCTTTACTTGATTATTTATTAAGTGTAAAGATATCTTTTTTTCCTTTGTTTATTTAATTCATTAGAAATGTTGATTTTCTATATTAATTAGTGAAAATAAAAAATATTATATTATGAAAAACATTAAAAAGTTAGAAGATTATTGAATAACAGTTATGAGATATTGATGATATTATAAATAAATAAATAAATATTAAGACATTTGACTTTAAATAATTTCATAGAATTACTTTAAATTTTTTAGGTGTAATTAACAATTTTTTTTTTTACTTTTTGACTAATTAAAAAATAATAAAAGATTTATAAAGTTAAATATTTAAAGATATTTTTTTAGTTTTAATAAAATATTAATAGAAAATACAATCGAACCTAACAAAGGGTAGGAAATGTCATTTTGAAACTTGAAGGTCGGAAAAGTAGTTGTTTCGCCGAACCTTGTGGAAAAATGTCGCTCTCCCTAATCATAATGATAATAACTATAGTGGTGCGATGGGTGGGGCCTCCGTCTCATGTGCCCGTTAGATTTGTGGCTATGCTAAAGTTACACATCAATGATCAAACCTATATTTCGGTTCGTCGCCGACGAAGTTTCATAACTGAAGCACTGCAGCCGGAGAGACTCCGATTGCAAAACTTCTTTTAAGATAAACTAAAGAGTTGATCACAACACGTCAACACCTCGTTTTGTCTCTTTCCTACCAAATTTTCTAATGAAATGGAGCAGAGAAGTTTACAAATTGATCCAAAGAGTGGTTTCAACTCACTAACAAAGACCTTCCACAGCGTCAGACCTCCCGTTCATCTTCCTCCAGAGAACGCTTTCCTTTCTGCAGCTGAATACGCTTTCTCTCTCAGAGCCAAATCGCCGTGGCCTGATGATTCCGTGGCTTTAATCAACTCGATCACCGGTCAACAGATTTCCTACTCTGAGTTTGATAGCAGAACCAAGTCTCTGGCCGCTTATCTGCAGAAAGTAACTCAGCTCTTCAAACACGACGTAGCATTTGTACTCTCTCCGAATTCCATCCAAGTACCAATCCTCTACTTCTCTCTCCTCTCGCTTGGTGTTATCATCTCTCCGGCAAATCCAGTAGCCACCGAGCGAGAGGTCTACGGCCAAATCCAGTTATCTAAGCCGGTGATAGCATTTGCCACGTCATCGACTGTTCACAAACTCCCGAAACTTAGACACCAGACGATCCTCATCGACTCTCCTGAGTTCGAGTCAATGATGGTAAGCTCAAAATACGAATTCGAGCACGTTAAGCTGAGTCAATCCGATTTGGCAGCGATCATGTATTCCTCTGGAACAACCGGAAAAGTGAAAGGTGTGAAGTTGACTCACAAAAATTTCATAGCACAAACAGCGATAAACTCTGCAGCTTGGGAAATGTCTGAGAAGCGAAAATCCCCCTCAGTTATGCTTTTTACGACGCCATATTTTCATATTTTTGGATTCTTCTATAGTATCAGATCCGTGGCTTTGAGTGAAAAAGCGGTGGTGATGGACAGGTTTGAGTGGAAGAATATGTTGAAAGCTGTGCAGGAGTTTAGTGTTACGCACGTGGCATTGACCCCGCCAGTGGTGGTGAAGCTGTCGAAAGATGGATCAGCGGACGGCTACGATTTGAGCTCTCTTGAAACTGTAATCTGTGGCGCGGCTCCCCTTGGGCAGGAAGCAATCGCGGCATTTACAGCTAGATTTCCGAAAGTCATGTTGGCGCAGGTCAGTGTTGGATTATCATAAGCACAGTAAAAATCTACCATAAATTCTTACCGTATCCATCTCATAAATCTCAGGGTTACGGGTTGACTGAATCGACGGCGGCAGTTGCTCGGACAATAGGTCCAGAAGAAAATATGAAGTGGGGATCAACGGGGAAGCTTTATGCGGGTTTTGAGGCAAAAGTAGTGGATCCTGAAACAAGTGAAGCATTGCCTCCATGCAGAGAAGGGGAACTTTGGATTAGAGGACCTACAATAATGAAAGGTAAATTTGTACTTGAAAATTTATATAGAAATAGAACTTATATGAAACATCAACAATAAGTACATAAATGGCTGGCACTGAAGGATATGTTGGAGAGCCAGAAGCAACTTCAGCTACGTTGGTATGTGATGGGTGGATGAGGACGGGAGATTTGTGCTACATTGATGAGAATGGTTTCCTGTTTATTGTGGATAGACTCAAAGAATTAATCAAATATAAAGGATATCAGGTGATAATATTAGTAAAAAAATCCATTAATTAATTTACTTGTGTAGATGCATATTGCCATTGCTATTGCTTTGTTTGCAGGTGGCTCCAGCAGAACTAGAACAAGTGCTTATTTCCCACCCCCAGGTTGCTGACGCTGCGGTTATACCGTAATTTTCTCAACTTCCATATCTCTTCGTAATTTCTTAAAATTTTTAACACACACATATATATATAATTTAGTTTTACTTCACTAATTTTACAAAATTACAGTGAAGATAATAAGGTGAAGTGATCGCAGCCATTAATAATAAGATGAAGAGTATGCTTAATGCTAATAAATTTGTTTCTCAAGACAGATATCCAGATAAAGAAACTGGTCAAGTTCCAATGGCTATTGTGGTAAGACAGCCCCAGAACACTCTCAGTGAAACTGAAATCATGGATTTTGTGGCGAAGCAGGTGCTTAATTTAATTTTTTATTTTTATTTTATAAAATTTTAAACCNGCTAGATTTCCGAAAGTCATGTTGGCGCAGGTCAGTGTTGGATTATCATAAGCACAGTAAAAATCTACCATAAATTCTTACCGTATCCATCTCATAAATCTCAGGGTTACGGGTTGACTGAATCGACGGCGGCAGTTGCTCGGACAATAGGTCCAGAAGAAAATATGAAGTGGGGATCAACGGGGAAGCTTTATGCGGGTTTTGAGGCAAAAGTAGTGGATCCTGAAACAAGTGAAGCATTGCCTCCATGCAGAGAAGGGGAACTTTGGATTAGAGGACCTACAATAATGAAAGGTAAATTTGTACTTGAAAATTTATATAGAAATAGAACTTATATGAAACATCAACAATAAGTACATAAATGGCTGGCACTGAAGGATATGTTGGAGAGCCAGAAGCAACTTCAGCTACGTTGGTATGTGATGGGTGGATGAGGACGGGAGATTTGTGCTACATTGATGAGAATGGTTTCCTGTTTATTGTGGATAGACTCAAAGAATTAATCAAATATAAAGGATATCAGGTGATAATATTAGTAAAAAAATCCATTAATTAATTTACTTGTGTAGATGCATATTGCCATTGCTATTGCTTTGTTTGCAGGTGGCTCCAGCAGAACTAGAACAAGTGCTTATTTCCCACCCCCAGGTTGCTGACGCTGCGGTTATACCGTAATTTTCTCAACTTCCATATCTCTTCGTAATTTCTTAAAATTTTTAACACACACATATATATATAATTTAGTTTTACTTCACTAATTTTACAAAATTACAGTGAAGATAATAAGGTGAAGTGATCGCAGCCATTAATAATAAGATGAAGAGTATGCTTCATGCTAATAAATTTGTTTCTCAAGACAGATATCCAGATAAAGAAACTGGTCAAGTTCCAATGGCTATTGTGGTAAGACAGCCCCAGAACACTCTCAGTGAAACTGAAATCATGGATTTTGTGGCGAAGCAGGTGCTTAATTTAATTTTTTATTTTTATTTTATAAAATTTTAAACCATCTGTTATAAAAATTATGATCATAAACTAGAACTTGAAAAGAATGGTTTATGGAATAAGTTTGATTGATGGTTGCATGCAGGTAGCACCATACAAGAAAATAAGACGTGTAGCATTTATCAATTCCATACCCAAAAGTGCAGCTGGCAAGTTATTAAGAAAGGATCTAATCAGGAAGTTTGTTCTTCCACCACCGGCATCATCAAGGCTGTAAAGAAAATTATTTTTACACTTTTTTTTTTTTTTCCAATAAATCTATAATTATACTTTGAAATTATAAAATTCAACATTTAACTTTGAAAAAGAAGGGACCCATGTTATTTATATATGACTATAGGCAAATTAGAAAAGTTTTGTAATAATAATAATAATGATGTGTGTTTGTTTTATTATTTGGAGCAGTATTTTTAAAAAAATTGAGTTGAGTTATTATTATTAAAATAAGATTTGAATTTGTGTGTTTGGTAAAGATTATTTTTAATCCTCTACATTTATTAATTTAGTTAAACAATCCCTATAATCAAAATTTTAAAATTAACAAAAACACTCTCATCTACCCATTACATGTTGGCAGCTGGTCACCACTGCCAAAGGGTGGCCGGAAGTCATCAAAATGGTGCACTATCGGTTGGTTGAAGGTGCTTAGTTAAATTAACAAACCTAGGGAGTTAAAAAACTTTAAATATTTTAAGTTGAATAGAATTGAATTGAATTTTGAGAATAATAAAACAAACATGTATTTTGAATAGGATACGATAAAAATAAGGAAATAAACACAAATGTTAATCTCAACATCTATTAAAATAAAATAGTAACATCACATATACAAATTTCTTTCATATAAAATGTGTAAGAATATAATTGAATAACTTTAAATTAAAAATACATTAAATAAATTAAAAGTACATGGTATATCAATTTCGAAGAAATTATTTGTATAATTATTTATTTATGTAGTATTAATCTATAATAATTTAGTAATATTAAAAATTAAAAACATAAAATAGAAAAGTGGGATTTGTGCAAGACCTTTCACTTGACTCTGGCATTTTATAACACAACTAATTTGAATGCGGCTCTTGTGGGTATTCATGTTTGATTAAGAATTGTGAGATTATGATCTCCGCCAAATGGTTTTTCCAAAATTTACTTTCTTTTTTCTTTCTCCCAAATATTTTTCTCCAACAATTTGCCGATACATAACGGAGCTTCTAGTCCTTAAATAATATAAGGAATCTTAAATTAGGAATCTTCGCGTTTCTTTAGCCATGGGGAGTTTGGGAAAAGATGTCTTTGATTCTTCTGAATGAACCAAATAATATAAGCATTCACATACTTTTCATTCCTCTTTCATTTGTGGCCGATCGGAAGAGAAACATGGCTGCCAAAATGTAAGATTCCACAAAATAAACAGTGAATTGTTAATGCCCTACTCAAGTTTCCGAGTGTAGATTTTCCAAGTAACTTTACAACTTTAAATTGGGCTTTACAATCTCTAACATGACTTAGACTTCTATTTGATGAGCCTTATCGTTGAGGTTTTGCATGGGTCCTTCCCATAACTCATTTAACTCCTTCCTCATCCATGACATAACAATTACAGGTCCCATTGTCGAAGGCACCTACAACCACCAAAAAGAAATAAGCACAGGCAAGAAGACATTTTGTCTAAAATTCTCCAGAGCATAATCATCAGAGATTATAAACCAATGAAATTCAATAAAATAATAATACAAAGATTACCAGATAAAGAAGGGCTGGTTGAGGAGAGCGAGTCAGAACTCCAGCAGCTAAAGCAGTTACAAGTCCAATAGCATATCCTGGAAGGGCATACCATATATATTTGTGTCCCTTCGATGAATGTAAATCAAAGAGACTAATTGTATCTCTGCTCTTCCGATGATCAAAACACAGGACCAATGCCAGAAGCATTGCAGGCATAGCCTACAAGAAGATGACCGGAATTATTAAAAGCACAAGACACAACAAAAAGAATCACAGGCAAACAGCGGCACAATTACATTTTCAACAAGAAAAGCACAGAAAAATGTGTGATATCTGTGTCTACAAAAATTTTGACATGGTATATCAATATGTATGAGTGAAATTATTGCAAGAAAGGTTTTTTCCCCTTAAAATTTGACTATTACACAAGTTTGTGAGTTGTGACAACATATGAAGTTTGAAACAAGAGCACCATGAAAAACAATAATGCTAAAAAGGAATATAAACTGAGCTCATATGGACCTCAAAGAAAGGAAAACACAAGGAATTTGCCTTGTCAGCAAGTTAATAAGTTCCAATCTTCACATTATATTTGTTCCATCAATAAAGAACAAGAGATCAACAAGAAGGACAATCAACATCTTCCCACGCCTCAAATTTTCAAGTACATTCTACTGAAGCTTATTGAGAAACCACTTCATCGAAAAGCTTAAAACTATCAAGAAAATATTCAACATTAATATTTAAGTATGAAAAACTCCCTCAAATGAAATGTGGATATAATAAACAAATAGTTCAAACTCAAAACCAAATTAATGGCGCAGAGAACCAAAATTGAGAAATCAAAAAAATTGATTGAGTGAATTAATATGTGACTTACTAGATTTTGAAACCTTCAGTTTGATACATATTAAGAAACCACTTCAGCCAAAAACTTAAGCTATCAGGTAGGAGCCTAACATTAATATTTAAATCTAACAAAGCAATGTGAGCGGCATGTGCAAGTATATCATGCATTTGTGTATACATTTCAGGCAGATATTTTCAGTAACGAAAGATTATATTCAGGTTAAGGACTGACTTCTGATGAAGAAATATAATCGAATTTCCATCAAGGATCACAGAGGATGCTACTTTTGACCTCAAAGTAGATCATGTATGCATGAGGTGTGCATGGACATTCATCCACACATCTAATGGAGAAGCATAAGCACCAATGAACCAGTTTGCATCAAGTAAAATCAACATTGCAAAAAAAGATGCAAACAACTAATGATGAACAATTTTGATAATTCTGTGCTACAAGCAAGTGAGACTCAATCAATGACGGAATGAGAGCTTCAATGGACCAAAAGAAGATGATGAACTCCATATTGATATTTCTTAAAGGAAATTCTCAACTATATTAAAAAGTTTTCACCCAGAGTAAAACACCAATACTGCACAATGACACAGAATAGCAGCACCAACCAGAATATTTCACTGGTCCATTCATGCAAAACAATTAAGCAGAAATGTAGATGTTATACACCACTGCATAGAGATAGCTACAACAGTAACAAACACATTTTATTTTGAAAAATTACTGTAGAACCACTGAAATAGAAAGTTACTCATACCATATCACCGAGACCAAGCATCATGAAGTCTGAAACCTTTGCTCCAGGAATCACGCCTCCAAACAAATTCCTGGGAAATACAATTTTCACAGGCAACTCCAGCTTTTTTGTTATCAGCTGCAACCCAGGAAGACTCAGACTATTAGCCACTGTGTGCATAGGATTTGATGCCTGTTGGGTTGCTACCGATACCATGACATTAGCCCCAAAAAATCTCTCAGAGAAAAAAACCCAGAATATGTCATACACAAACAGACATACAAGGAGCATTGCACATATTTTGATATTTGGAAGGCGCACATGGCTCACAAATGCTACACAGATAGCGATACCCAACAAATTGTTCAATACCCAATGACCAGAAACTAGCCAAGCAGCAACTATAGAAGTGCATGCCAACAATAATAACCATTGGATTCGTGTGAGAGACCTCGAACAGCACCGCGACACAAATGGGTCAGCCAAACCAAATTGTGACCTCACATAGGCAATATAGGGAGATAGGCAAAAGAATAGGGAAGAAACAGATGCAACAGCCGTTAAGGCAGTGAGAAGTTGTGAGACTGAAGAAAACAGGTAGAACATCAAAAGCAAACTGCAGGAGCTCATTACAGGGATCATTAATGCTTGGGACTTGTCTAACATAATGGATGCTTCTGACAAATCACGGTTTCGCTCCATTTCTTTCCCATAATTTAGAGCCCTAAATGCAGATCCAAATGTCACCGCTACTGCTGTCAAAATGAGTGTAACAGGAGCAGGCTCCAGCAGATGTAAAAGTTTCCAAAGAGACTCCATAACTATATAAGATCAAACAAACTATTTGAAAGTTCCTTTCTGCGTGTATAAACGAACGCAAAAACCGTAACAATTACAAAATTTGTAACCAAAGTTGCATTTTTCCTCTGAAACACTTCCCCCAAAAAATGATGCAACCTGCAATTAATCATGTTAATATATACATTAGTGCAAATGCCAAAGTATGTATCTGAAATTATCAACATCTAAATTGATTAAAGAGAGGCTAACCAAACCTTTAAACAAAAACATAATTGTTCAATTTTTTATCAATAGAGGAAATAAAAAAGGAAGAAAGAAACAACGAATGCAAGAAAAAAGAAAATTATCAGTTCTTTTTCTTCACAAAGCTTCAATGCAGACAAGAGAACGCCTTCATTTTCAACAGGGAATTATATTGAGGACAATTAGCTGAAGATTTCAGGCCAAAAAAAAAAAAAAAAAAAAAAAATTCAAGTACTCTCCATTTTACCCTCTATGCCAAGAAAATATAAGAAAGACCCCATTTAAGGGCTCAAAACATAAAGAGCACAATAAATTAATAAAGTAAGCCTAAAGCAATTAATACATGGCCTGGTTTAGTTCAGCTCAGTTGACTGAATACTTCAATTTTCTTGGGCAATCAAACAACAAGGATCGAGATTTATAATTTTCTTATCCTTTCTCCCACGTTCCCAGAAGAAAGCAGAAATTAACCCCAAAAAACCAAATCTAGGGTTCAGAAATGAAATTAACGTAAATCACATTACTACAGCTGAATTCGAAATAATTTTACAGTGAATCAAAGATCCTAACCAATTAAGTAGTTAAGAGCAGCGAAACTAGGGTCTAAAGATAATTATAGAGAAAAGTCAAAGAAAGTAACCTTGGACTCTGAAGAGTTTGCAAGAGCTCTTGCTGACCAACGGGCTTTCCTTTCTCGTTTGCTGTATAACAAAGGCGAGTACAAGATTATGCTAATTTATAGAAGGCCCCAACATTTTTACTATTCTTATTTAGTTCCAACGTATCAAGTATGCTTTTACACCTGGCTGTCCCTGTGTAAAATTGAGACTGCATCACGAAAATTTTTTGAAATCAAAATTATTTACCTAATGAATTAAGCTTATCTTAGGACCCATTTATGTGTTTATCTTAAAAAGTGAACTGAATAAAAACATTAATTTTATATGATGCATTCAACATCATTTTTCTAGAAGAATTTTTTGAAATTTAAAACAATGAAATGCATTCTTTTAAAGTCTGTTGATGTGTGATTTTGAAATCAACGATTCGCACGTGTAAAGTGCTAAACAGGTCTTAAAAATTACATGTAAATGATTGTGAAAGAACTAATCAATATAATCGAATGCAAAGACTAAATAATAAATGAGAGAGAAAGTGGTTCGGATGCTTAAAGCGAATCTTATGTCCATTGTTTCTTTTATATATGAGAGATTACAGAGGTCGCATATAGCAAACATCGAGAAAAGGTACAATAACTGAGTATTCAGAGAGAATATCGAGTCAGTCTCTTTTTCGTAGGTTAACTTTACTTTGAAAATAAAGATTACAATCGGAATGAGGGTTCAGGATCAGAATCCCTAAAATGAGAGGGGGAGTCCTCTATTTATAGTATAGGAATTCAAGGTAATGATCACAAATCTGCAAGTGGGTAGGTGTTGTACAAGTCCTTCCTTGCCTCCCATTGGCTGATAACTTAGGAAATATCTTCAAATTATCTGGGGTTTGGACAGGTGTGCGGTCCTTAGTCACTCATAGACAAAACTTGAATCTGATAAGTTGATGACAGTTGTATTCTTTCTGTCTTGGGTCGACGTGGCAGCACTTGGACGGCGCAAAGCATTTCTGAAATCTGATTGGTGCTTGCTAACGTAAGGTTACGTCAGCCTTGGTTTTTTAGGCATAACAAAAGCTCCCCAGTTCTTAAGATTCAAGAATTGAATCTTCAAAACTTCATGATTATGCTGCGATCTGATTTGTCTCGAGGAATGTTTGCCCGAACTAACAGTTGAGAACAACCACATTGTTGCAAACGACATGAGGCTGATGGTTTGACCTGACCAGCGAATTGTGTTTAGATTGTGACATGGGTTTCGAAAACTACACAAGCAACTTGACGTGATCGTTTACAAAGGTCTAGCGACCTAAGCCAGATCTTGATTAGTGCTATGAAAATGTGTTTCGAACTCTACCTGTCATTCACGACCTGAAAACACCTAGGGTCTGCTTGAGAGTTTTTTTTTCACTAGTTTTAGGGAGTTTTTAATTAGACTGGTTTTGAGATGTTTAAAAACCATTACTTGTTAGATTTTTAATGGACTGGTTTTAACTGGTTTAAAAACCCCCCAAAACCAGTGTAGTGTATTTTTGAGGGGTTTATAAAATACCCAAAATCGGGGTGTTTTGACTGGTTTAAACATTTTATCCCAAAAAAACCCCTTTCCACTTATAATCCCTTTGCTGCTTCTCCAAGCCATTACAGCAGTAGATGCCTCTAACCCTGCATGAAACATTAGCTTCACAATCTCTATTGCTCAACACCAATGCATTAAAATTAACTTATTAACATCAACCGAAATACAGGTTAAAAGGATCTAGTACTAATTTCAATGTGTCTCTAAATATTAGAAATAACTATCAAAATCTTTCATCCGAACTATTGCAGCTGCATAAAGCCATAAATCAAAAAGGTTTTAAAAGTAATATGGAGGTGTGCGTAACCCAAACCTATAGAGTCATTCATTCTGTCAAGTTAGGGCTTTAAACACCACCTATATCATTTTATGGAGTTGGCTAGGCACCAAAGCAATTGTAAGTAAAATGCGTGGTGAATTTGAGAGTCAACTCCTTCATTCTTATGATGGTAATGGAAATCAACACAGCAAAGTTCTATTCTTAAGAGCTTCATTACAAATCTTAATAGAAAGAAACAAAAATATATTCCATCAAACCAAATACAACTGCAAACTGAAACTAATGACCTCCAATAACAGAACTTGTTGAAGCAATCATAACTGTTAGAGAAAGCCTCTTGTTTGATTGGAGAGAAAGAAAATAAAAACAAATAATGTAGACATTATCTGTATTTATCAAAGTTAATTCAGCAAAAGAGAGAGTATTTTAACTTTATGGACATATATGTAAATTTATCATTTAAAAAAACTGTCAGAACCGTTGGAAAATAAACTCCCAAGCACAGGTTGGGTGTTTTAAAAACCGCTACTAAAAACTCCTCAAAACCGCTACGGTGCTTTACCCTTAAAACCGCTACGATGGTTTACCCTCATAACCGCTACCATAAAACTCCCAAGCAGACCCTTAGAATATTTTGCTGTCAAAAACTGAGAATCATCTCGGTCGATGTTCAAGTTTGACATGTGGAAAAAATGCCTTATTCGAACGATCTTCTTAAATGTTATTCGTTACACTTAATAGCTATCTTGGTCAATAAAATAAACTTTATCTGACAAACGTATCTCTGCGCAATAAGTGTAAGCCATGAGCATTAAATGCATGCTATATTGAAACAACATTCCCTTTTGAAGCATTAAATACGGATGAGGGCGCATTTAATGTGGAGGGATTAATCATGTCGGCGCTTAGCAATTTCAATAAAGAGAAATGTTGGTTGATCTTCACAAAGTGTGAAGGTCACTCTTCGCACAGATTAGTGACACGTGGTCATAATCAATGGCTAGAAACGCGTTCCCGCCCAAACGTCGCTTACAAAAGAAACCAAACGTCGTCTTCCACCTTATAAAACCCAAAGCCCATTCTAAGTTTTTCACAGAACTAAAATTTTCAGAGAAAAAAATAGAGTTTTTGCACTCAAGAAAATCAGTTCATCCTCTTCCTGGTTGATGCATACTCAATGCTACGACAGAGCAATCAAGAGGTAAAGAAATTTCTTCTCTTTTCCTTTTTTTTCATTTCTGTTAAAAAGCTTAGCTTTTACAGTAATGGCGGGTATGGACATTTGATAGGCTTAGATGATGAACATTCTTGGGTAGTGCTTGAAAAGAAACACTTTAAGAGTTGAAACTTAGGGTATAGATCTTTAGAAAATCATTCTTAAGAATTTTTAGGGTTTTTCCGGCTATGGAAGAGAAACCAGGGTTCTTTTACTCTTTTGAGTCATCTTACGAGGTAACTTATACAGAGTTTGAGTCACCCCTACATGTCGCACCTTTACAAACTCTAAGAGAAATGGACACCCCTGAGGGGAGAACAGTGGGAGAGGGAAGCTCGCAACCACCAGGCACCTCGGCGGGTCCTGGAAAGGTGATACAATCAACAGTTGCAAAGGACAAAATTAAGAGAGCAATAGACCAGTATGCGATTAGTGTAATGTGTTCTAACACAGGTCACACACTGCTCCGGACCCTTCCGAGAAAATTGTCGTGATCTCGGAAGCGATCTTCAAATGTGGAGTGAGGATACCACTTCACTCCTACATCAAGTCGATTCTTGACCACTTTCAGGTCACGCCATTCCAGTTGACGCCAAATGCATATATGATAGCGGTCGCTATGTATATTGCATTTGGTGAACACAACCTTAGCAAGCCAACAACAGAGGAACTCGGCTATGCCTATTACTTAAAGAAGAGTAAAAACAAGGATTCGTACTACCTCTCTAAGCGATCAACGATCAAGAGAGAGATATTTGGTTACCCGAGCAATGTTGGGGCTTATGAAACCAAGTATTTTTTCTTCAAGTACGATGGATTCTATAAATTTAAGGAACTGAGTAGGTTTGCCTTTTAATTTCTAGATCGCTCATCTTTTAACTTTAGCTTTAACTTTTCCTTAATATACTAGGCTAATGAACCTTTTACTTTCTTGTAGGAAACAAAACAACTAGATTGTCAGCGCTAGTTGATCACAGCCGCATCAAAGCATTTGGTTGATTGCCCAACCAGAGTCGCGACACAAGGCCACTCGTGACTACTCCCAACCTTCAAAAATATGAGTTTTTCAGTCCCGACGCATATTTGGATGGTTCAGCTCGTAAGTATTTCTTACACAAAAACTCTAAGCATTTTTTAACTAAAGAAGACTCTTTTTGCTAACATGTTTGATGCCATGCAACAACTATGCCACAGAAGGTTGCAAAGATGGTGAAGAAGCATGGGGTGTTCACATTCCCCAGGATTAATCCAATTGAACCAGCTGGAGCGGCCTTCAACAATGTCCCTGTAAGGGGGATACAAGTTGGTGTCGACAGGCAACCACCCTCTGAGCGACGTGAAGAAGCTCCCCAGCATACTATTGCTCACCTGCCAAGGAAGAAAACCACAACCCTGAAGATAAAGAAGAGAAAGACAATACCCACCAAAGAGGAAACTGAATCTGAAGCAAAAGGCTTCGGGATATTGCCAGATTAGTTACATCCCTATCAACTATTCTTGTGAGAATAACCTCGATGGACACTCTCGGGACCTTGACTCCCTTAGCAGCTTGTAAGGGAAAGAGGGAGCGACCACCACTGCTCAGGGGAAGTGGGCAAGCAATAGGTCGAAGGGGTCCCTACCGCAACGAGGCTTGATCCATCCGTGTTGGATTTTTTAGGGTAACTACCAGACCATTTATGACCATGTTAGTAAACGGTCCCATATACGCAGCGGAAACAAAAAAAATATAATATAAGGATCGTTTACATGAGCCAAGACCAAGGGTATAATTTTACAATTTATATTAAAGTAAAATCTGCACAAAAAGGTTATTCATGAGTTTAGAACCA